TGCCGTGCCCCATGCCAGGAGCAAAATAGTTTTTTTTGATGTGTGAATAGTTTTTTTTTGATCCTCCGAAAATAGTTTTTTTTTGATCCCTTAAATAGTTTTTTTTTGACCCCTCTCCCCTTTCCGCTACTCTATATCTGAGATGACTGTATCTATCTATGTGCACACATTGATATGCTCATGGGCAACCTTCCCTTGCCTCGATCAGCCCCTCGACGGCACAGAATATGCTGCGAAGGTCTTCTTCCGTCGCTTCTGCAGGAACGTTGCCCAAAAAGAGCTTGCCTTCCATGGATTTTGCGTTGAAATGGTGAAGGGAGAGAGAGCCGACAACCTGTCCCTCGACCTGCAGCACATGACTCACCATAAGGACGAAGTTGCTGGGCGATGGATCCCACTTCGTGCGATTCTGCGCTCGTTGCGATCGCTGTGATCCACGTGGTCGTGGGGCTCGAGCCAGCAACCATTGTTGCTTCTTTTCCTGCAAGAAGTGTCTGCCACGCATGATAGTTCGACGGTCAACCGACATGGGAGACTTCCATCCTGTGGTGGCCGGCAGACATACAGAGCAACTGTGCCTGTGCAATGCCGGAACAGTTTTTGGGGCACAAGGGAACCTCCTCCAACTCCAGGTGAAGCCGGCTTCCCAAACAGTAGACACCTTGAAGAGTGTCCAGAGCCTGGCAGCTATATTCAGCCTTGCATTCCGGCGCTGAGTCTATTGTTAAGCTTGCTGGAAATTGTCTCGCCACTTCTTAACTCGCAACTGACAAACCTTAAACCCTAAACCCTTAAGGCTAATTTCAGCAGCTGCTTAGCTACTCTCGCAAACCGACATGGCCACGCCTTTGCCGCATCCTCGGCACACGTGAAGTCCGCGAACCTTTCAGACAAATGTTCAACAAACGGAAGTCGAAGAGATGGTAGCAAGCCCTTAGAACATCTTACAGTACTTCCTGCAAGGATTCCTGCAAGGCCTTGTCCAGTCCGCTCTACAACCCCAGGGACTGTCAAGCACTGAGGTACAACAACCCAGTTTCATGGCCATGCGGCGCGATAGAGCCTTTCTGGCCATTCCGCAAAATCCGAACGCCCGCAACTTCACCGGCAGGGCTCAAAGCCTCTTGCACATGCGACTCCTCTGCCTCGTACCTGAGCAGGCTTTGGAAGCTACCCTCGCCGGAGACGAACCTAAATCGAGGCGTAAACGTATGAAGCCTTCCTGCTCTCTAGATCTCAGGGCACGGGATTTTGCCCACGAAGAGCGTGCAGCTGTTTGACATTGGCTTCGCAGGGCTGACTTGGACGCCTGTTGGGGCACGCAAACAAAACATCGACGCGCGCGCCTCGCGTGCTATGAACCACGCCTTGACCATGGAGGGTCACTCCCACCAGCTGCGTCACCGCATTCTGTGCTTGTGTCAGAGATGCGAAGCGTACGTAGCAGAACCGCAGAGAACCTGAGTTGCGCTGCTCCGACTGATTCGGCACGACATCGCCAAAACAATAGTCGATATAGTAGTGCTGTCTACAGCTCCAAGCGGCCTGCATCCTGATTCGAGCTGGGCCACCGCCTGATATCTGCAAGCAAGGGCTCAGCAGTGGCACAGTCCTACCCCTAGTCACTTGAGCACAGGTACACTTTGGCAGGGCCGATGGGCGAGAAGAGGGCCTCGATCTCCTCCTGAGCTCTCTTCTCGAAGCGGCTACCAGTCTCCACATCAACTTCTGACGCTTACGGGCGATGGTACGTAACTGACACCAGTGCCCCACATCACCCGCCAGGTGCGAGCAAGCCACTGCGGTTGCTTCCTCAGATCATTGCATCTTCGAATGTTTAGAAATTCTGCAAGAGCTTCGAGGCTACAATGTGTGCGAGCTGGAATCTCCAAGGATGCTCTTTCTGATGCTTCGGGCTGTTCAACCGTGCTGGTCTCGTGTTGCTTGCAGCGAGTTGTGCTTCATCGTTCTCTTGGCGGCAAGGTGGCAGGATGAATGTTCATCACCAGCACCTCTGCAGCATCAGCCGCAACGTCCTCCTCGTCCAGCGGAGGTCCTTCAGGCCACGAAGTTGTCCCATGATGCACGCACAGACCGGGCGAAATTCTGGGCTTATATAGGTCATACAAAGCAGCTGTAGACAGAGCATATCTGCACATCTGCCGATGTCCTGGTTGCATCACGCGACACCGAAAATCCCAAACCTACACTGCTGCACAGCCCGGCCCCAAACCCCCGAAGACCTGGAATCCCCAAAACAGAAACAACCACATAAGACCATGAAGCCATGACAAGAATCCCATGAACCTCCAGAAACCAAAGTAAACTCAATGAGTTCCCTCATCCCAAGGCCAAGGGTCGAGGCTTGAGGTGGCATTCGAGGCTCTGTTCGCCCAGACACTCACCCCGCAAGCCCCCTGCCGCCTTCCTCAGTCAGAAGCTATAGACAACTACATAGTTAGACAATTACACTTATATCTATCTATCTGTTATATTTTGCGCAACGATGTCATCTAATGATAGCAACACTAACGGTACTAGCACACGTGCTAGTAGTAGTAGTAGTAGTAGTAGTAGTAGTCGTAGTAGTAGTAGTAGTAGTAGTAGTAGTAGCAAGAGTAGTAGTAGTAGTAGTAGTAGTAGTAGTAGTAGTAGTTGTAGTAGTAGTGGTAGTAGTTGTAGAAGTAGTAGTAGTAGTACTACTACTACTACCACCACCGATAATAGTAGCATAACAAGAAGAAGAGTACTAATGTGATGATTACTAAAGAGTAATAGTAACACTAATATTCATAATCGTACACACTAAATAACAATACTGACAATAATAATCATCACAATCATAGGCCATAATCACAATCATAGGCAAAACCATGATCATATGCATACTAAAAACAAGAATAATGAACACTAAGCATAATAAGGACAATGATTCTGATATCAATCATGCTAAACACAATACATGATCATCATGCAATAAAGAATTTTCCAGTGTTTATAAGACTCGTAGTAGCTTAGTAGTAAAGAGGTAGACTATTTGTAGGGGGTGTGGGTTAAGGGCAGATTAAGGGTTAGCTCAGCTTCTAAATATCTATGGTTCAGGGTCTTGAGTCTTGAAGTCAACAGCCCAACGGACATACGAAGCTTCGTGGTGGTCGGCGGTTGCCTCGCGCTCTGTCTTGGAAAGACCCTCAAGAAGCGCCCACTCCTGCCCCGGCCTCCCCTACTTCGCAGGCTTTCGGCTGAGCTCTGAGGCGATTTTGTTTGGAACACACTGTAGCACTAGAGTAAGAAGGCATGCTCTGTGGAGTCAAACTATGGGAAGTCGCACTTCTCCTACTCCTCCTGCTGCTGCAGCTGCTGCTACCACGCGGCTACCGAAAACTACTACTCGTTGCCTCTACGACCATTTCGTGATACTGCGGTGGTAGTGGTGCTCTGGCTGCAAGGGGTTTCTCCAAGAGCAGACCTGGACCACAAACCGATTGCGGGCCAAGCCACTCTGCAGCCGCAGGGGAATCGAAGGTCACGACCATCTGGCCAGGTTGCAACGGCCTCAAGGCTAGGGCGGGTAGGGGTCCTTCTCAGCTCAGCTCTGCAAGATCTGTCAATAGAAGAAACCAAGGCTTCGACTCGACACTCTCGACGGTTCCGAAAGAGGCAACCAAATCCTCCAGGCGCTGAAGGCTGGGGCACACTAAACGGGGTAATGACCTATAAGGTCACATCCTTACTATGCAAAGCCTGAAACGACCTTATGGTGCGTTGTAGTTGTATATGGTTTTGCCTCTGACACTTTGGACAAACCGGGCGAGTGGTCTGAAGAGCGATGGGCCAAGCGTGGTCTAGGATTTGCTTGAGCCCAGAGGAACCAGCCCCAGGCATCCCCAAATCCGAAAGCTAAGCTACTGCACGGGATGCATCTGACGACTTGGTACGGTTGCGTTCTGAACATGAAACATACAACCTTGGCAGCATGCCTTCGCTGCAGTGGGGCTGACCTTCTGCAGGAAGAACTTGACCACGTGACTCCGTTGTGACATATGAGGTAGGTTGGGCATGAATCAACACCTCACGTGGACCCCGTGTGGGTGTGAAGTGAGGATTGTGGCCCACCGACCCCAGGTTTGCACGCCAGACTGCTGGTTCTCGTGTAACTACCATGCCACCCATGCCCGGACCGCAATGACGAGTCACAAACGCAGTTCTACTCGCCTACAGTAAGACATGCGAGAATCGTCGAGGTGAGCACTGTGAGGCGCGCACCGTCCTCGGCATAATGAGCGTTACAGCTTCTACGCCTGAGCTTCGAAGAACCCCAGTTTGGCAGCCATGGTTAAATTGCGCCTGTGACCGGTGCTTTCCGGGTCTGGAAGCTTTTGAATGTTCCCGTCCCGCGGTGGCCAAGCTTTCTTACTCGCTCACTGATGTGTTTTGTGTGCGCGAACACAGGTCGGTGGGTGGTGGCTTCACATTGGGTGGGCGCAAAATTCGCATGGAATGGCGGTCGCATTTGTCGCACTGAGGGTCTAAGCTCGGCACTTTCCTTGTTGTGCGACGTGTTTTTTTTTTGGCGAGAAGATACGAACACCATTAAGTCGAGGAAGGTCAAGCAACTGCCATCGCACTTGTTCATTTCTGGAACGAAGCAATGCGAATAAGTTGGAGTACCACCACGGCAGTGCTGACCCATGAAATCTACTTTAAGCCCCTTTAACCTCGTTACCTCGTTGGCTTCGCTTCTCCCACAGGCTCTGGGCATGCTATGATGGTCACACCTGGTGTACAAGTGTCCTCGACGTCAGCTGGAAGCATCTTCGCCGGAAGACCCGTGACCTCTAGATCTACTCAGTATACTCTCTGGATGCTGCTGGCAGGTCCGTGCTTACACTTCTCTGTGCCGGTTCGCACTTTTGCTTCGAACTTCACTAATGTTGGTGCGAGCATACCTCATGTGCCTAGGATGACTGATTCGACGAATGCCTTCCTACTGCTGGTTGGTGCTGCAGTGAGCAGTGCGAACCTCAGTTCAATACGAGCAGGGTCGGTTGCGTTTTAATTTTAAGTTCCCTCGCAAAGCCCACAGCTAGCCCAAACATAACACCCAATGCCATCCCAGCAAGAACCTACAGAACATCTACAAAGCACCTGCAGCCCGCTACCTAGCTTCAGCCACTGAGAAGCCATTGCAAAGCACCCCTGTAAAATCTATTGTCATAAGTCCCATGGAAACCTTTGACAATGAGTGTCCTGTCAAAATACGACTAAGATAGCTATCACGATTACTACTGCTAATATGATTATTATTATGATCCTATCATGATTAATACTGTTATGACACTTGCTCTTAGACTTAACTATTAAATATGAATGAGCCAGGCTGCAATGAGCTCCACGGGTCGAAGGTTTTCCAGTTTTCGAGCCATCGTCTGATGAGCCTGTTAGGCCGATTTTGTTTTGTGGGTTTTTTTCCCTCTAGGGTTTAGGGTTTAGGGTTTTGTGGGTTTAGGGTTGGGCCAATTTGTTTTGTGGGTTTAGGGGGTTTAGGGTTTAGGGTTCAGGGAGGGTTTAGGGTTGGTCCGGATGCTATATCAGGCAGTTCTTTGGTAAAATCCAACGTTCGACGATCTCAGCTGGTTGTGGGGGGCTCCGATTTTTCACTTGAGCCGTCTTCGTAACCATCCATGTTTTTCGCCAGGCTGTGTAAAGAGCCGGGATGCAGCCCCGACTCGAGTGCAGATGCGTGCCACTTGTTGTGGCTTGATGTCCATCTCACTCTTATATGTATATAGTTTAACATATCTAGTATATACTATATAATATATAATGGATTATATACTGTTAGAAATACATCCATAAATAAACAAATTATTACATAAATACATATATATATATATATATATATATTCATGTCATATATTATATACATATTATATATATATATATGTATATATACATATATACACGTTAATCGCAATCAGTGCAAGGTTCCAGCCCCTGTGGTGGTCGCTATCTTTCGGAGATTGGTCTTGCAATGGTGGTGTTTGCCATCAGACTGCGGCCTTGGCAAATGCAACGGGGTCTCAACCAGAAGCAGCGAGAGAATGGGCTACTGCGCTTCGCACGGTGCCACGGCATCACTGACCTTGTCCACCCCTCACGGTAGAAATACCATGTCGAAGGAACAGAGATGGAGACTTGCTGGCTTGGATTCTGGGCATGATCAAGCAGCCGATGTGCCTTTTCGGTGGTGTGAAGGTTCCGGTGTCAGTTGCCACACGCACCGTGGAGCTTATCGCTCCTTGCTGTTGCCCGGCTGCACCGTTTCTCTTCCTTGTGCGTTCAACATGACATGGTTGCTGAGCATTGCGCCTTCTTGGCGCTCTCGCAGAGTTTGCATGCGTGAATGTGGCGACGTTCGTTATGGACTCGTCGCTCCCGCTCCAGCGGGCCGCAAATGGCAGCATGTGAAGTCGCGTCTGTGGATGACCGGCTGCTGTGGCGGCCACAAGACGGATTGCTGGCATTTGCTCGTGCTCTATGATAGATTCTGCCGTTCTGCACTTCAGTTCACGATGAGTTCCGATCTGGTTTGTAAGCACCGAGGTGGCTACTGGTATGGGGACTAGGAGCGCCAGCAGCAAATGCAACAGCTTTTAGTGCGACTACCTGCTTGGCAGTTCGCTGCGAGGAAAGCTCAGCTGTCGGCTTGCTTGGTTCCACTAAACGGAAACCTACACAGATCGCTTAGAGTGAGCCCGAGAAGGCCGGGGACGTTTGAACGTTCTGCGAATGCCAGGGTCAAAGGTCCTTCGAGCAGGCTTAAAGGAAGCTCCGACCTTGGCTTAGTGAAATCCCTCGTTGCTAGCTAATGTTTCCTCGAAGCCCGCTCGGGGGAGTCGGGACGGGCACTCACATTCCTGAAACCACCCTCACTATGCTGGCAAAGCTTGTGCCCCTTCTCTCTCCCTTCTGCCTGTCTTTCGGTCAACTAAGATCTTCAATGTGTCGAAGAAATGCAGTTCCTGTTCGCCGAAACAGAAAGGCGGCAGATGAGCTGCACATACCTTTCGCCAATTATGAAGCATCGCTTCTGCACAAATGACAGCAGGCTCTACGAAAGAAATCACGTCTGAAGTCCCGGCCTGGCCTGGGCAAGCAGGTTCTCAACTTGGATCCGAAGCCTTGGCTTAAGATCTGGGGGTTTCCGAAAATGGGGGACCCTATTATAGTACCCTAAATAGTAGGATCCTTATTATAAGGATCCCCAAAATAAGGTACCCTGATTTTCGGAAACTCCCATCTGAGCGCTTAGATGAAGAGACGACACTCACAGAGCCTCAAAAGCACGAAAGATCAGCCTGGTCACTGGTCCAGTTGTGAGCGGGTCGCCTTCCCACTGAAATGTACCCTGCAGCAAAATCCAGGCTCAGTAGTTGTGCTCTATGTACCAACCAATGCAGCAGCAGAGCTATGCCATGCACAACGTCGAGAAGTGCTCAGAAGTTCTGCATCTGTGGTGAGATGTCAAGTTAGGTGACAGTCAACCAGTGCCCACAGTTAACGCGTATGCCATAAACTTTCTCCATCTCAAGGTGTGGGTTGTAATATGCTTTGAAAGCAACGCAGATTATCGCGAAGCCTCCAGGTCCATGAATTGATGTATCCCTTTTAGCCACACAACTTAGGCCCTAAAAGCAGCCTATACCCCGGACCGACAAGAGATCCGAAGCCACCCAGAAACCTTTCCAAGCATTAAAAGCAGCGAGCTCAACCCTAGACTATTGCCATCTATTGCCCGACACCCGAAGCCCTGAAAACGTTCAGCCCTAAACCTGCGGCGACCCAAATCTGAGAACGCCCCAAGCCATGTGTCATATTGTGTCTACGTAATCGGCAGCCCGCGAGTCACGGTCTGCATCCCCAAACTCACGCCGAAGCCACCGGGGTGGAGCCGGGGGTGGGTGTCGGCGGAGAGACGGGTGGCTGTGGAGTGGAGGAGTGCAATGCCGAGGGGTGGATGGTGGTAAGGGTGGAGTGGAGGGAGGGTGGAGTGGAGGCGGGAGGTGGAGGGAGGTGGTTAGGGGTGCAGGTGTGGTGGGTCTAGGGAGTGCAGGGGTGGAGTTCCCACAGCGGCCCTCTCTGTATTTGTAGACGATTCAACCAGCACTTGCATACTACCTCTGTGGCTCCGGGGGCTTGGCCGCCTGCCACTTATTCAAAGCACTTCACCGTGTATATATATATATATATATATATAATATACGCACACGCATGCGTAATTAGATTTGTATGGAGGCGTGTGTGCGTGTTCGCGTGAATTTGTGTGTTCCCGGCTTTCCCTTCAATCAAAATCCCGTGAACCTGGATTCCGAGCCAGTTCCGGCACGTTTGGCGTGGAAGCCAATCGCGCCAGCGTTCAGCTTCAGATATCTGACTCCGGTTTGTTCCTTCGCTGCAACAGGTCCATTCCATGACAGTTCGCCCAGCAGAGTCATACAAAATCGAAGTGGCAGCTGAGAAAGTGAAATGTCAACCTCATATTTAGGATCCCCCGCGTAATTGCAAAGTCCAATTCCCAGAACGTAATCAGAACCCCCGCCCCCTCGTATTTGCAGAATCTATTCGGCCGGAGAGGGAAAAGTGTAATCTGAATCTTGCTTGTATAGATGAATGCTCGCAGGAACTTAAAAGGCTTTAAGGCTCCTGGGGTTCTCGGGGGCTCTAAGCAGCTGTGACACTTCTGGCTTCTGGACTCTACACAAGCTTCTAAGTGCTTCCAAAACACTTCTGGGCGTTTGGGGCTTTTAAACAAGATCTCGACTCTTATTACGCACGCTGGGGCTCACATCCTTGGGGGGTGTGGAGGGGGGGCGTTTTTGATATGAAGCGAGCATTACCGTAGATGTGTTGTAATCAACCATGTTCCCATAGAGTCCCTATTGGCCTTCAGCTCCTGTGACCAAGCTTTGCTCGTACCAGAATGCCACGCCAAAACGCCAGTCTTCCGCCGCTGCTGCTGCTACCCACCCTCCGTCCGCCTACTGCCCTGACCACTACGACCACCAGGTCCTGCTCGTGCTGCTGCTGCTTATACTGCTACTACTACGACTACTACTACTGCCACTACTGCGATCCTGAAGTACTCAACAACCAGCAGCAGCACCATTACCAGCACCACACCAGCACCACCATCACCACCACCACAACCAAGACCACGACGACCCCTCCTACTTCGAGTACAGTGTCCGAACTTCCCCCGCGGCGACGAAGGTTCAAACTGGAAGCCCGGTGCTACCACCCCAACGCTACCGCGACAACTCCCATGGATATCATCCCTCTTGTCAGAGCAATTAACGACTGCCACCAGAAGGCATCCGGAGAGGCTCTTGCCTCATGCGGACCAGATGCTCCCAGGCCCGCGATGTTCACCGCATCCACGCCTCCAGCAATCTCCAGGATCAGCGAGTTGGGGTATGCCGATTGGGTGGCGTAACCTCGCGGCATCTGGCACTCAGATCGGAGGTTGTCTAAGCAATTTTCTATAGAAAAATTAGCTTTTGAGTTCAAATATGTATATCATATATATATATATATACACATATGTATGTGTGGACTTAAGTCTATACGTAGATATGTATGCATATATGAATACATACATACATACATACATACATACATACATACATACATACATACATACATACACTTACATGTGCATGTGCATGTGCATGTACATGTACATATACATATACATACATACATACGTACATACATACATACATACATGCATACATACATACATCATTCATACATACAGACATGCATACACACATATGCACATGTACAACTCGGCTTCATCTGTAGCTCTGTGTATGTATAAATATAAATCAATAAATGAAATGAATGCGCATATATATATATATATGTATATATATATATATACATACATACATACACATGTGTACATACATTTGTTCACGCACATACATGTGTCATCTACCATGTGTGTTGTGTGTGTGTGCTCTGTACCTAGTGCACGGGTATACGCCGAACCTTCACCCATTCTCAAGGCATCAGCCCGGCCTAAGGCGGCCTTGTCGGAGTTGAGCGCCCTCTCCGACTCGGACCAGGAACCAGCTCTGGCGTCCACGCACCGAGCAGCACCCTTGTGAAATCTGAAGCCTCACCAGGATGCCCAGTTTTTAGGACCGAAGTGGGTACACGACGGCTTGAGCTTTGCTGGAAATCCAAGGGCTGGACGAACGTAGCCACGCCTAGGATGTCATCGTCTGGACAAGCATCAGCCGCTCTCTCCCTCTCTTGCAGTTCTGATGGTCTCTTGACTCAAACTAACCCTTGTGAGGCTCGGAATCTGAGTCAACTATGCTCCATTATTGCCACCAAGTGACGCCTGCTGCGAAAGCTGAAACACCTCAGTGACTCAGGCTTCTTATCGTTTCACCGTCTGCTGGCTGATAACACATCTAGGACTTCTGATAGTAAATTTAATCAAGACTGGCATCAAAACTCGGGAATTTTTTCTCTGCGAAGCTCGGAGGATGGCTGTGTTCTCGAGACGGTGTAGCAAGGCCCCTTGCATCTCAAGCTCTCTGCAAGCTTCGCAGGAGTTGATCACTGCTTCGAGGCTCACCATGTCGGGGCTTATGGGCCTCAAGTTCCCCAAGCACTGCAGGCTGGCCCGCCAGCGAGATGCCTGACTGTACGACCGGAGCGCTCCATTGTATGTGATCAAGTTGATCTCCAGTTCAGTCTGCACAGCGTCTGTCAGGAGTTGTGCAGCCTTCGACCATGCCCCCCCAGCAGCACACACGTTGATGACAGAGTTGAAGGTAATGATATCACGCTGTAGGCGGGCAGAGAAGTCGCTGGTAAACAGATCCAGAGTTTGTTTCCAGTTCTGTCCACCTTCCATGGCACTTAGGCCTGTGTTCAGCGAGACTTCGTCGGCTTGCAGACATGACCTGGCACAGGCGTGTAACACTGTAACACTGCCTGGTGGAGCGTGCGTGCGTGTGTGCGTTCGTGCGTGTGTGTGTGTGTGTGAGAGAGAGAGTATGCGTAGATGCAATGCAGTGCGTTCGGGCGGCTGACTGCTAAGAACAGCTGGGATTAACAACTTGAAGATCAAGTAAGGTCCCAAATAGCACTCCGGTCTGGATTGGTGAGTTCGAGTAATAACTTATGCTTTCGGCGCTCTCTCGGACACGAAATACCAGGTAGGAGTACCAGTGGTGGCTGCGGGGTCCAATCCCCAACGAAAACTTCAGCTTTACGGCCCAATTTTTTCCCTGCTTGGATTTATACAGCTTGCTCATCCGGCTTGAAGATCTCGACTCTAAAGCTGGTTGGGGCAATGCCTAACCAAATCAATCTTTGTTAGGCTTCACCGCTAATGGACGACCTTGTCTATGTCAACCCCAACCCAATGATCTTCGGGGATATGGGAGTTTCCGAAAATAGGGGACCCTAATATAGCACCCTCAATAATAGCATCCTTATTATAACCCCAAAATAAGGTACCCTGATTTTCGGAAACTCCCATATCTTCCAGTAAGGTGACCATTCTGGCCGCCTCGGTAAGGCCTCGAGGATCCGAATGGCAGATCTCCACTGCTTGGCTTCGACGGACGCAAAGAGAGCGGTGTTGTGGCCAATGGCGTTTGCCTGCGTGGTCATGGATTTCAGCCCCCAAAGAGCCGAAAAAGCCTGCTGCCACTTGGAGCCCCGACCGTAGGAGCAGAGCTCTGCGTTGTGAGTCACAGAATCTGGCCTTTGTCTCGTGTGCCTGAACTGCTTGAGCAGTCGTGCTGCAACCTCCCATCGGCTGGATTTCTCGCAGGTGCTGACAGCAGCATTGCAGAGTACCAGGCTCAAGCTTGAAGAACAGCCCACGCACCAAAGTGCAACTTGCCACTCTTCAGCAAGCTCACAAGCTCTCACAAGCGAGCTTTGGCTGAAGGCATCCTGCTGCAGTGTAAGAGAGTGTGCCTGTGTGAAGCAGCAAGCAGCGTATTGCCAACGGCCTTCAGTGCTGGATGCGCTGATCAGTGAGTTCAGGGAGATGGCACTAGGCTGCAAGGCAGTTCCCCTGAGCTGCGCGAAAGAATGCGCACATTGTTGCCACCGCATGGACTGATCCAAAGTGTTCAGAACAGCGTTGCCAGCAACGATGTCTCCCTCAACGGCTAGCTTCCGAAGAGCTTGGAAAAGAATCAGCCCTTGCAACCAGTGATGACCTGCTCCACAGGAACTGACCATGGTGCTGATGGTCACGATATCAACCTGCACGTTCTTGCAGCCTATACATGTGAGCAGGCGCAGTGACTGGCGCCATGTCTTCCCAACCGCAGTTATTGCACCGTTGAACACGATTGTGTTCTCTTGCAAGCTGTGAAATCGAGCCCCTGACAGCAAGTGCCACCCATGATGCCATGCAGCGCTCCGTCCGCATGCGTTTACAATGGCTCCATGTGCAACTGTATCTATCCGAAGCTGCATTGTCTGCAACTGCCAGAATGCCTCCAAAGCCGTCCTCCACAGCTGCCGTCGCCCATGGCAGCTAATTGCTCTGCTGTATGACTGCAGGATACTAGTTTCCTGAAGCTTGCGAGACTTCTCATTCTGCATCTCGCCACAACCCTCGTCCAAAAGGGAGACATTGATTGGCCCACACCGACGTCGTCACCGCCAGTCATGCAAGAACAATGAGAGCAATCACTTGTCGGAGCCTGGTGCCTGTCGTCAAAGATGTAGGCCCAAGGCTGTCTCTCGGCAGCGTTGCAATGTCAAGCTCGCACGGCATGAAACCCTCTCCTTGCAGATCGGTTTGTCGGCCCCGAGATATCAGGGAGGCTTCGTCGCGACTACATGGCTAACCGCATGCAAGACTACATCCTGGGCCCAAACAGCGTCGACGCATCCTGCGAAACAGCTCCAGAGTAGCTTAAGCCGTGACGCGGCCACAAACTCTGCATACCGTGAAAGCAATATTCGTCCACACGGCAGCTGTGCTGTAGACTGTGCTGGTGTAAGCAGCGCGCAGCCTTTCTTTCGGATTGGGGTCGACCACACAGAAACGTGTTCTTTCATGCGTGGCCTGGCTGTCGCTTCATGCAGAGTCGTTGAGACCCTGAGGGCCGTCAGGTTCGAGACCCTTCTCCGATGCACTATCGTGGTGAAACCTGCAACCTGTCAGAACCTTGAGCTACTGGACGGGTGGTATCAGAAATGGCAATGGACAAAAGTTTCTGCTGGCGCGGCCTGGTCCGATGATGTGGCACCCTGCCTCCTGGTTAGCTCTCGAATTGCCGACGCCAAATTGATCATGTCGGATTGTGATTCAGTGACGCGTCGCCAATTGTCCTGTGTCACCTCCAAAGAAAAGCGATTGCCAACTGCGACGCGCAGCTTGGCTCTTGTTAGGCACGTTTGGAAGATGTAGCTGTTCTGCACCTAAGACGGCAGTGTGTCACAACGTCTAAGAAGCTGAAAGGTCGGGCATTCACTGAGCTCCGAGCCGTGAGTACAAAGGCGGAGAAATCATTCAGGTCGACTGCGAAGGTCATGTACTTCTTGGGCGCTGCTCCCTTGGCTGCCTGGATGAGGTCTACCAAAACTTCGAGGAACGTCCTGATGGTGACAAAAGGGTTTGCTTTGGCGTGCTCCAAGCAAAGTGGGAGGAACTCGAAGACCAGGGCCTTTCGCGTGAGTCCATCGGCGAGGAAATGCTTCGTGAGTGCCAGGCGATCATTGCTTCCAAGGCCACTCCACGCAGTGTCGAGATCTTCGATGTCTTTCGGAGTCCGTGCACGGAGGAGGCATGCAAGTCGGATTAAGGCGAGGTCTGCTGGCTTGGAGGGTGTAATTCCAAGCTGCACACCCCTGTGATGTATGTATGTCCAGTACAGAGGCGTGGCAGGTGCCTCATGAGCTCGCTTCAGTATGGAGAGTCCCAAAATCGTCGACTTTGCATTATGGACCGTCATGAACTTGGATCCATGACCGCCAGCCAAACCACTCATGAAACCCAGCTGAAACAGTATGTAAAATTTCAGCAGGCCCTCACCCTGTCGCGCCTGCATGTAACGCTGGAGCCGATCCAGATTTTCAGGCACGTTCTCTCCTTGGATCATCTGAGCAAAGTTGAAGAACTCCTGTAACTCAAGGACATTGTTGGCCATCTGCAGCATCTGCATGGACATGCTGTCAATGGACGGCATGCAGTTGGGATAATGGTTCAAGATGTATCGCGCTGCATGCTCGGGTCGCTGATAGTTGGTTGGCAGCTGCCGAGTGAGAGCTTTATACTTACCGATTCCTCGAACCGCCAGGAGGAATATCACACCCACAAGCTGTTCTGCATCTGGATTTGCCCATGTCAGCAAGCTCTGAAGGTGCTCCCATTGCGACTCCTCCAACCGGTACTTAGGATCTTGAGGTGCTGTATACCTGAGATTCAGTCTTTCTCAAGTACATGTCGTTTCAACAGTTTCACCAGAGCACACAAACTGTCAAGCGAATCGGGCCACTTCAATAACCGTGAACAAGCTGAGACAGGCTTAAATGCATTGTGCACACTTGCTTATGCACAGGGGGTGTGCGATTTCCGTCAGTCTGATTCGGTGGCGATCACGTATACCAGCGATCGAACAAAGAACCCTAAGCAGTTTAAGCATCCAAAGTCGGTTACTTACTTGCTGAGAAGCGAGGCTATTTCCACCTGTTGGTTCGATAGCAGGGCAGACGTTGCGGTGGAAGTGGTGTCCCTGTTAGTGGCGTGAAGATCTGCCACTAGCTCCTGTCACTCTGTAGCTTGCAGTAACAGGGGGCACGCGACAAACAGGCGTGGATGCCGAAGCACTAATGCACTCGGAGAGCAGGCCACGTCGGAGCCCGAAACGAAAACCAATTCGGAGTCTCACTCACGGGAACCGACATTATCCGTCACAATTTCTGCTAGACAGCTAACTCGAAAGGAATCTGCAGTCAGCCCCGATAAAAACTCAAAAGAGAATCGAGGACACCATCGGGCTCGCGACTTAACGTCAATTTCTCTTCAGCTCTGATCAAAGGCCCGCGCAAGAAGTTTCATCGCTCTATGGATTTCGATCTTGATATCTGAGGTCTCAAGCCGAAGTCGACAGACAGTGCAGGTCACAGAAGGGGTTTTGTGGAGCGCGGCATGTAAACTTTCGACTCCGGTGCCGCGAAGATCTGTACCCCAACTGCAGTGTGGAACGCGCGCTCTGGCCGTTTTCAAGTCAACCTTACCACTTGACTGAACACGTGGAGAGCACCCATAATTTAATTCGTCAGCAATCGAAACACCTGATCATGCAATAGCAACAGCGAGGGTAGGCCGTGCACGCCTTGCCCCAGGCAGGTCGCTTCCGGACTCCGTGGCAGCATCAAGCCATCCAAAAGCCCCATTACTTGTCAAAGTTCAGTTTCCCAACAGACCTTTACGGGCCTACAGTCAAGACAGGTCTGCCATATCCATGTCTGTTCAGAGTTGCACACCACAAAACCCCGCAAGCAGAGTCAAGGCCCGAACCCACCGCAACCTTGTGCGCATGCAATGCACGGGCAGCCGCACATTGAGGGTCCCACGAACTGTCCGCAGCTGTGTTCAGGTCAAATCACCGTTTCGGCTAACATCAGTTTCCGTCTTCTTCGATGTGTGCCAAGAAACTCGGTTGGAGTAAGGCCCCATGATGTAACATGAACCCTACGAGCTTCCCAAAAGCCGATTAACCTGCAAATCTGACTCAACCTATGCAAGCTGCGACTCGAAGTCCCCACGAACCAAGGCAACGAGGCTGATGATAGCCGACTCAGCTCGCTCTTGCTCGGAGTTGGCTTGGACGTTTGCAAATCCTTGGCTGAAGCCCGAACTGTTCTCAGGTGGAGGGCGTGTTCAAGGGTTCGGGCTTACTGTCTTGAGGGCTTCAGGCTTCTACGGTCTGTCTTTTTTCCCTTCTTTCAGAACATGGTCAAAAGGTGGAAACGATGATCGGGAACAGCCTGGAATCTAGCATGTAGGCCGTCATCGGGGTCCAGCTCCACAAAAGACCTGTGAGCGGAATTCTAGCGCTCGACCGAATTTGCTCCCCCCCCCCCATGACTCGCGAGGCGGCAGTACTGTATGATCTTCCTTGCCGACATCAAAGCGATCATTGCTACTGTCGACACGGTGAGGATAAACAACTGTGAAATCGTGAATGCTAGAAGAAAGCAGAACCACGAGAGCAACAGAAACAGTCCTGCCAGTTCATGGCAATGGGCACGGTGAATGTGGGTGGTACTCGTGCTGGGACGAAATGTCAGGCCGACGGTTATGACGAGCATGACATGGCTTCTGCTGCTGCTATGGCGTTGTTGTGGATGGCGTTTAAAACGGCGATCACAACGCTCACGCGGCTAATACTACTTTTACTACGAGTACGACGACGACGACGACGACGACCACTGCCACTACTACTGCTACTACGACTACGACTACTACTACTACTACTACTACTACTACTGCTACTATTACTACTACCACCGACTACGACTACGACGACTACTACTACTGCTATACTGACTGCTGCTGCTGCTACTGCTGCTGCTGCTACTGCTGCTGCTACTGCTGCTGCAGCTGCTGCTACTACTACTACTTCTACTTCTACGGCTGCTGCTACTGCTACTGCTACTACTACTACTACTACTACTACTACTACAAGTACTACCACTACTTACTACTACTACTCCTGCTGCTACTACTACTACTACTACTACTAGTACTAGGCGCAGGGTTGGTTGGTGACGCCAGTGTTTTCATCTGAGTGTGATATTTCTCGAATTTTGATTTGATATGCTGAACGCTGCTATTTCTCGAGTTCGGGCATGATTTTGACCGATGTGGGGACAGTTCACGTTCTTTGGCGGATACTGTTTTGCTGCATTTTGCAGCCTTCCAGTTTCTACGTTTTGGAGTTGGGCTCTGTTTTTTCTCGAGTTTAAGCGCGTTTTGGGGGGCTTGACCAAGTCCATGAACAAAAACATGCTAAAACTCGAGAAATAACGGCGTCCAACTCGAAAATGTAGAAACTCGAAGGTTCCAAGCGCAGTACAGCAGTATATCCACCAAAAACGTGAACTTTCCCCGCATCGATCCAAATCAGGCCTAAACTCGACAAACAACAGCATTCAGCATGTCTTCAAATCGTCACACAAACAAAACACAAAAAACGCGACCCTCCCGGGAACGAGTCAACACAACTGAAACTCGACACACAACACCCTCACATGAAGAAACACGTGGCGACACCTACCAACCCCCGGTACCTACTACTACTACTACTACTACTACTACTACTACTACTACTACTACTGTGTGACTATGATTTGTTCTTGGGCCGAAGTCTTTACACTTGTTTCAAAGCCTCTGCTGATGCGTTACTAAGTCTCCCCCCCGCCACGACTACAGTACGAACTTCCTGTCTGTCCCGGTGGCTCATTCTCGACGTGTACCAACAAGCAATGGACAAATAGTGGCCTCTGCAGCTTTGCAAGCACCCCGTCGATGGGCTCCTGCTAGACGATTCAAAGGGGCCATGCTTCAAACTGGATAAGTCACCACTGATTTAACATGATCTGAGGCCTGGGGTGGGAATCTAGCGACCATGTGCCATTGTACCCGGCCAGTACTAAGAACATGTTTCTTGCTTCATGTTGTGTTGTGTCATGCTGTGTTGCTACAGGCTGAAGATGCTTCGAAACGTGGACGCCTCGTGGAAGAGAATGTGGTTCACCAGAGCTGCCGGGCCCATGGAAGGTGACGGACCGATGATGTCCATGTATTCATCTTTCAACGTTTTGGCGCTGGATAGTTTCATCTCCAGGCCATCCTGGAGGTAGGACAAATCCAGGTTCCTTAAGACCTTGCGGCTGTCAACATAGAGCTCGAGGTAGAACGAGTTGGCATGGCAGGCGTGCTCTGCACAAGTGCCCTCTTGCTCAAGGATTTCTTCGATGTAACCAGCATCTTCCTCCGAGTTGTGCCTGGCCACGAACTCCAGGGCATATTCTATGAACATTGTTGCGCACATAGGTGAGTTTGTCAAGATTGTGCAAAGGCTTTTGCTTGAAAGGGCATAAACATCTGCGAATGAAATAGTCTGCAAGCTGTATCCGTGCATGGCTGCCTCCACGTAGAGGGCAACTTCCGCAAAGTATCGAAACTCGTCGGCAAAGACGTATGGAGAAGCATTGTTGTTCGAGATGTTCACTGCGAATTTACCAGCCCAGGTCAAGTACATATTCTCGGCAAACGCGCCTGCAGAGAACACGTACTCCGCCTCACAAAAGAAACTCCTCTCCAAGTCACGGCAGATCTCCTTGAAGACCTCCGGAAAGATCTGGGCTGCCAAGTCAAACACAGGGTGCTGCTGGAGCTGGCCCCCGAGCTGTAAAAAGGCGAGCTCCTTCTCAAGCCTTGGAGATACCAGGCTGTTGTCGAAATCGAGTTGAGAATGCCACCCAAGCTTATAATCCGCATAGCTCATGACACGCATCGTCATGCCGGTGGGCACGCCCTTAGTCTGAAGGTAAATTCTGAGTTGACGCCGCCTTCGACTGTTTTCACTGCTCACCTGCCTAATCTCATTGAGGGTCCCGGTCACAATGGATAAGGCCGAGCCAATGACAAGCACCACGGTGATGAAAAGCAACACGCACGCATAGTGCTCCATGGTACTGTCCGGCTCAAGCACTGGCGGATTGGGCATCAAAAGGATCCAGGCCACTGCGTGCACGTACTGATCTGCAGGTGGCAGACTCCTCAAGCACGCAAGAGACGATGATACTCTTGTACTGACTACTAAGAACAAGGACATTTCATGATCATTATAATGGTATGTGGCTCGATTGGTTGCAGGTCCCAGGGATAAACTCAAATCCAGCGATATAGACAGAACATGAAACAACAAGACGCCCTGGGACCTGTGAATCCTTGAAGCGACAGTCCATTGACTGCCAAGATTCGTAATCCCTGCCAGGTCGAGCCAGCTTCTCTCGGAGCTGTTCGAAACGGATTGACCTAAAGCATACCAGAGGCACGCCAAAATATGGGCCACGGCTGCGATCGACACCACAACCTTGCCCACTGTCAAAGTCAAAATCAGAGAGTAATTCCCGGTGGCGATCACCAGGTTCTCAAGAATCACGCTGATTTTCCCGATCTTAAGAATGCGCAGAACCCGAAGCATCTGTAGCATCCGCAAGGCCCGAGACAAACTGTCATCCTGCTGCGACGTAATGCATGCAGCGATGTCCAGTACCACCATCGTGATGTCGAAGGCAAACCACGTTGTAAGGTAGCGCTGTGCTATTTCTGCTCGCTTGAGGCGCAAGTGGCCCTTTCTGTAAAACCCTGTGTTAAAATCCAATATGATATCAAGGGGCCATAGAATGAGGGTAGACGCCGAGAAGACCTGCAGGAAAGCTGCCATTGAACCTGCGTCCGCAGCATTGCCAGGTGAAAAAGTCACGCTCCAGGCAGTGCAAAGTGGCAGAATACATATTTCAAAACCAATAACGAAACTAATGGCAGTATCCCATGCGAGACGGAATTTGTCATCCGGCAGCAGGACCCTGCAGTACGCTGGATCATTGATGTCGGCGCTGAAGGTGCGAGATCTGGTGGCTGTTTTGGGGATGTCTCTGCTTGATGCCCATCGGCCCTTGCCGATGGCCTCCACAGCTTCTTCAGCCTTCATAGACAGCTCCATCAGGTGGGAGTTCAAGCGTAAGTGTGAATGGCCTCTGCTATCACGTTCTAGCTGTGAAGTTGCCGACCGCTGTAACGACAAGGCTGCCGCAGACAAGTTGGGGGCATCTTCGTCGCCCATGTCGGGACCGTCATTCATCACCCAGGTCTCTTCCTTCAGCACCCAGGACTGCTGGCCTGTGAAAGCCTCCAGGCCATCTTCCGACTTTGTCCGGTTTTTATCTTCCAGGTCCTCCACGGCTTCCCGCAGATGCTTCACCTGCTCCTGGATCCCTGCAAAGGCACCCTGCAGCGCGTCGTCCAACTCACGAAGTCGATGAGTCACGGAGGTCCTCGGATCTCGGATGTAGCAGCAGGAACCAAGCTAAAAGAAGCTAACACAGCCAACACCGGTGACTGTCGACAACCACAAAGCCTTTCCGAATCCATAGTAGCATCTGCATCCAAGATTTGATTCTTGAAAACCGGTGATGGTAGGGCCGGTAGGGCCGGTAGGGCGAAGTAGCTCTACGATCCCGACTCCCAAACACGAACAAGACCAAGCCGAGCAAATGTGCAGCACGTGCACTTGAGCCTTCGCAGCTTCCGCATTTGCAAAATATCCGACATGACAGCAGCGAAGATATGTGAGGCCAGGAATCGCCTCTGCCTTTTTACACGCCATCCCATCCCGTCGCGACGGCTTCCCAAAAGAAACAGTGTTTCGTGCAAGACGGTCTCCGTCAAAAGCGGCAGCTTGCACCATTGGCATGCCATGAAACACGCCGACATGACATGCTCATATGGAGCAGCTGCAAACTCTACAGACGCAAGCCGGCTTCGCGACAAAAAAAACCACGCAAGCCTCCACTGACTCTTGAAAGCTGCCAAGATAGCCTCGTACGACACGGAGTTGGGCTGTACACAATTCTGAATTCGGCACCAAAGGGCAAGTGCATGACGCCATTGAAGTGATTTGCTGTATGCCTTCCAAGCAGAGTTGTAGGTGATGAGCGTAGCCTGAAGAGACGTATGATAGAGTTCGTGGAGAAGGTGTGTTGCTTTTCTCCACTGTGCGCTCTTTGCGCAAGCGCTCAAACTTGTGTTATATGTGATGCGGTCTGGCAGCTGTCTTATGTCATGGAACTGTTGGAGGCATTGGAATGCTGCCAGCCACAGCACCGCCCTGTCACACGTGCTTAAGAAGGCGTTCAACGTGACCCCATTTGGTTGAAGCCACTCTGCAGCAATCTGGCTTGTGAGAACAGCAGCATGAGCCCACTGAATAGCACGTGCACAAGCGGTGAGTGACGCGCTGTGCGCAATGGTATCTCCAAGCATGTTATGTCCAGGCGGCCATCGGAGCAAGTGCGATGCAAACTCCCAGGCCCCTTCCCTCTCACAGGCACTGATTGCTGCATTCTGGGCAATGATGCTGCGTCCTGGCCTCGTTCCAAGGCGGATGAGACTCAACAGCATGCTGAGAGCATCATGCCACCTCTGAGAAATGATAAGGGCAGTGATGGGCCGCTCCTGTTTGTCGGGCAGAGCCAGCGCCAATGCCCGCTGCCACTCAGACTCCCGCGTTTCTATCGCTGCAGTCACTGCCATGGTTGCGGTCAGGGTGATCAAATCTGCGCGCAAGCCTCTTACATGAAGCTCGTTGACTTGCATGAAAGCACGTGGCCAAGCCGAGGACTTGGCTGATATGTCGACGCATGAGTTGTGTGATGCAATGCTGCATCGCACACTCGAGAGTGGCATTTGAGCCAAAAGCAGGAATCCAGCCGGCCAAGAACCACACGAGCTGATCTGTGAATTGCACATCAGAGTGTCAGCAGGGATGCCAGATCCGCGCAGAATTTGCAGGAAGACGGCAGCCGTTTCCCATGCCAATGCATCAGAGCATGCCCTGGTGCAGCTACTGAAGGCAATGACATCTGGCTCTAAGTTCTGCAGCTGGAGACCATGAAGAAAAAATAGGGATCTCCGCCAAAGCATGTGCGCCCTGTGCGCACAGCTCATGATATTGCCCACAACTGTGTTCATTTTGAGGCCAGCTTGAAAGCTCCAATCCTGCACTCCCAGAGCTTGCCTCCACTGCTTGTCCTTCTCGCATGCAGTCAGAACTGCACCTTCTGCGAGCACACTAACCTGCACAGAGTTCTCTGGCATATGTGACAGACTGCGCCAAGCTTTTGCCCACAGGGCCGCCTCGGCGTAGTTGCAAATCGACGTGGTGCATGTCACAGGATCGTAGTTGAGGTCTCGTTGACGAAGCTCTTCCAATTTCACAATTGCCAAAACCCAAATGTGCTGGTTGACGCAGGCTTGCATGGTGGCATTGAATGTGACTGTGTTTAACCTGGTCGAGCTTCTGCCGCAAGCTTGCAGGATGTCTAGAGCCCTGTCCCACGTGGTAGCACGACCACAGGAGCTGATGCATGAATTGTACGACACGGTGTCCGGAGACACTTTTGCAGAAAACATTACTGGAATCGCTGCCAAGGCATTTTTCCAGCTTCCGAGACTGATGGCCTGGTTATATCTAAGAACCTCCGGCGTCGCCTGCGTCGCAGTGGCAACGGCCATGGCGCGATGGAATCACTTTCCTAGGCACCTCACACGAGGAGCCAAGCTCCTGAAGGCACAAGCGCAGTGCAAGAAATCAACTTCAGATTGGCCTGAAGAGCCATCGTCAGCATTCTTGAGCCCTAGCCTCTGTGTACAGGACAGCAAGAGATCTTAATTACAGAAACCGTTGTGGCCGTTTGGACTCTCAAGCATGTGTGACAAGCCGGCAATCCTGGCACATTTTTGTCCGTGTATCATCATCTGTTGAACTGGAGAGCGCCTATGTTTATTCACACCAAAGCTCACAACAGATTGACGGCGATGTCGATGTCTGAAGAAAAAATAATGTAACAACTTTATGTCAACGCTCTCACTATGCACAGCTGGCATAGCTTCAAACACCAGGTACGATTCCGGTATTGCCGTTCAGAGGCTTTGCCACAGCGACCGGACCTTCTTCGAATCTTGAAAACTCTACTGTGCTTGTTGGCCTAGGTGTGTCTTTGACCTCGCTTAGGCAACTCGCACCTGACAAAAAATGCATGCTTTGCTGCCCCACAAATCGCGACATGTGTCCTGCTGCTAGGATCCCCTTCATGTATGGAAGAGTTGAACAGGAACCTGCAGCGCAGCTGCCAACCACCTCAAAAATGGCATTGAACCAAGACTTGCTGCTGAGTTGGGTTGTTCGTGTCCTCCATCTGTCTCGACTTGTACACGAGCTCGCGCACGGAGCCTGCGAGCAGCACAATGTCAGAAGGAGGCTCGGTAACTCTCCGCCAGTTCTCCTGCGACACGTCCACACAGAACCTTTCCTCCCTGAGGCCCAGAGTGGCACGAGCCAGGCATGTCTGGAAAACGTAGCTGTTTTGCACCATCAAGATGAAGGCCGCCAAATCGGCCAGGTCCACAGTGATGATTTGCTGGCCTTTCGGGGCGGCCGATCGAACGGCCTGAAGTAGTTCGACCAAAACCTGCAAGAGCGTTCGAACTGTGACAAAAGGATTGGACCGAGCTCGCTCCAAGCAAAGTGGAAGGAATTCACAAACGATTGCCGGGGTCGTTATGCCATCGGCCAGGAAGTGCTTCGTGAGCTCTACTTGTTCCTGTGCTGTGAGATGGTCCCAGGCATCTTGAAGCCGTGCCAAGTCGTCCGCCGTCTGAGCCCGGCAGTTGCAGGCCAAGCGCAGCAATGCCAAGTCTGATGGCTGCTCGGCACGTCTGCTCAGTTCAAGCCCCCTGTGGTGGATGTACGTCCAGTACAAGGGTGCCGGGTCCTGCTCGAGGACGTGCTTCAGCATGGCCAATCCCAAAATTGTGGTTTTGGCATTTCGCCGGGTCATAAAGCAGGACCCTTGGCCGCCGGCTAGCCCACTCATGAAGCCGAGGAGGTAGAGGACGTAGAACTTCAGCAGCTCTTCGCCCCCACGCGGTTGTATGGTGTCCTTGAGGTCCCTGAGGTTGGCAGGCACATTCTCACCCTGGAGCATCTGGGCAAAGTTAAATGTGCCGAGCATCTTCAACAGGTTCCTCACGAGATGCTGGACATTGCTACCCAAGCTGGCAGAAGAAGGAACCGCCAGCGGAAACGACTCGAGTATGTACTTCATTGCCTTCTCTGGGCGCTGATGGCCCACTGGAAGCTGCCGAGTAAGTGATCTGTACTTGCTCACGCCCTTGACTGCGAGCAGGAAGATTACCGCAAGCAGCTTCTGGTCAGTGGCCTCCGTCCATTCAAAGAGATCCCGCAAGTTTTGCCACTGAGTGTTGGTTAGGCGGTTGTCTGGTGGCTGCACTGCCGTGTACCTGAGCTGAGGGCCATGGTAAGATGGCTGCGCATTACAGTGAATGTCGCATACAATTCTTGGAGGAAGTCGGCCCGGAAACGCACGAGTTACAAAAGCCGCAAGTTCCGAAATCTACCAGGTGGCATGTTGTAGTCGTCCCGAACGATGGCCACGAGGCTGAGAATGGCAGATTCAGCTCTTTCCTGCTCTTTGGAGTCGGAGAATCTGGCGTGCAATCCGGAATCTGGATCAAGCTCGACAAAAGCCTCGCGCAAGCTTGCGAGCGTATCCTCAGCAGGCTCTGTGCTATAGACCACTGAAGTCACGAAGTCCATGGGAGCCAAATACCCACCAAACTCGTCGCCAGCTCCTCGGAGCTGTGCTGCTGGCTGAAAATCTCGAGTGTGAGAATCATCCAAGTCCTGCTGCTGACCAGACAAAACATGGCCCATGGTAATGGACTTGACTACGGGACTCTGCAGATCTGATAGGTCCAGTGTGTCCAAGACCAAGCGACTGTCCACATTCACCTCGAGATAGAAGGAGTTGCATGCGCAAGCAGCTTTCGCGCACGATTGTTCTTGTTCGATCATGTCCCAAACGCATACCTGTGAAGTAGCTGAGGCAGACGAGAACCGCACAATGTAGTCATTGGCATACTCCACGACCATCGTTGTGCACATGGGTGAGGCCCCAAGTATTCTGGCGAAATCCGAAGCCGTAAGCGAGAAGACTTCGGAAAAGGACTGAGTGTGCAAAGTGTAGCCGTGCATCACAGCCTCCACATACAAGGAGATCTCGGCAAAGCATTGGCAATCGTCTTCGAAGAAGACCTGATCATGCGTAAACACCTCAGCCGTCAACTTAAACGTGCCATGGTTGCTGACGTACATCTTCTCGGCCAATGAGCCCTCGCTGAAGACGGCCTCACCCTCGCAGTAGAAATGCTTGTTCAACGCGCGGCAGCACTCGGCGAAGACAGTGGGATACGATGACGACACAAACGAAAATAACGGGTGGGCATTCAGAACGGAGCCGAACTGAGACGTGGCCAATTCTGCCTCAAGCATCGGTGAGATCAAGCTGGAATCATAACCAACCGGCGAATGGCGGGTCATCTTGTAGTCGGCGTAGCTCATGACCCTCATCAACAGCTCGGTGGGCACTTTTCGGTTTTGCAGGAAGATGCGCAGCTCACGGCGCTTCCTGCTGCGCTCGCTGTTCACCTGGCGGATCTCGTTCAAGGTGCCGGTAAGGATCGACAAAGCAGAACCAATGACCAAAACTGTTATGACGAAGAGGGTCAGCACCTGATTTCTGGATAGAGGCGATTAAGCCAACTCAGGCTCAGCTATGCAGGCTTTCGTGTTCCACACGAACTAGAGGTACGCATGAAATCGAAGGGAGCGAGCAAGAATGACACAAGGACACTAATCTGACAATGGTCAATCAAATATGTCGACCGACATCAACGGCAAAATCAGGAGGACACACGCAAGACACCACGGCAGTCTTGCCGTCTCGGCATGTTTCTCGGCCGTGTGCTGGAGACTCCACATTCGCACGCCTTGACTAGGCATGTGAAACCGGACCGCATGCCATCCCTCGCATAGAATCACGTGGACATGGCCGCGAACCGTTTTGTGTAAGCCTGGGTTGTGAGCCTATCCGGTGGATCTCACAACCCAAACCGGATAGTGGCAGTGCCCGCATGTCAGCCTTCCCGTGCCTACAGCTTTGTGCCGCTTCGCTTCCAAGCTCAACCTATCCAAAGTGGCTTAGCGAGCTACAGAAACGCGCTGAGGGTCCAGCTGCCATCTGCTCGATGCCGCTGAGAGGATCGAGAGGTGCTGGAGCAGGCGGTAGCAGAATCCATGTTAATGAATGTATATACTGGATTTGGAAGCTTGCATCTTCGATCCGAGCAAGTTGCAGCCAGCTGGGCGGGCCCGTATCAAATGACGATACGGTGTCACCTAGCGCAAACCAGACACATGCGAGAATGTGTGCGACGGCCCCGATGGCTATGAGCATCTTCCCGACTGTGAATGCCAAGATCATCCACTGCCGTCCCATAGAGATAACGAGATTCTCCAGCAGCACATTAATCTTGCCTGCTTTGAGAATCCTGAGAATCCGAATCGTTCGCAGTATTCGCAAATAGCGGGCGGACCGCAATGGCTGCAAAATATCTGAAGGCGCATCATCTGTCGCCTACCCAGTCCGCAGGCAATGTCTAGAATTGTAGCATACTGTAGCCTCTAAGCCGCTACCACAACGGGGTCCACTACTTCCGAACACGTCCCTGACGCCCGGAGTTCTAGGCAATATAAACCCCCAAGTTCCCCTTGGACCGACGCCTGCCCCAGGAAACCAGCGGCAAAGTCCAGCAAGACGACGCACACGTCAAACCCCAGCCACGTATACGCATAGCGCTTGGCAATTTCCCGGCGCCGGGTCTCGATGAAGCCGCGAACGTAGAAGGCGGTGTTGAAGTTCACTACGATATCACATGGCCAAAATATCAAGGAAAGAATGGCCAACATCTGCAGCATTCGGCTGGGAGCGCTGTTCGATGTAGGCATCGGGGTTATCTCCCATTCGCTCCAGGCCATGGTCATGGGAAGCAGAAATGCATCCAACATAATCAAGAGCACACCGGACAAATCCCACACTAGGCGGAATCTTGAATTGGGAGGGATCACATGCAGAATAGATTCGCATCTTTCCAGCTCTGTGCTGGGCCCACCGGATGCATACGAGCTTGCTGCGTTGACCGCGTAAACGCCCGTGCTATTTCGCGACTTCTTTAGCACATGCACTGACTCTGCAGCTCGCATTGAAAGCTCCATCAAGTGAGAGTTCAGTCGCATGTGCGAGTTCGCGCTGGTGCCCAACATCTCGGAAGAGAGGTGCAATGCATCAGCTGAAAGCTCTGACAGGGTGCCAGGTCCCTCATAAGGAATCGACATGACATCATCCTTTAGTAGCCAATCGCCCAAGACATCAACCTTTTCAAAAGCATCCTGACGGTGGTTTCTTGAGTCAGGCTTCGTCGCAAGCGTGTCTGACCCAAAGTCTTCACGCAAGAGTTTGAGATGATTCTGGATGCGAGAAAAAGCATCCTCTAATTCGGTCTCCAGATGTTGCAGACCTTGCGCGAGGCCGGGCGAACCCATGGCTGGCATGCTGCCCCAACTGTGGCCGTGTCTTCTTAACTTAGGATGTAGATGTAGGATCCGGCCTGGAGCGTTCTAGCGAGACAGATTTCGGGGGCCTTTGTTCTGACCTCTACTTGCTCGTGTTGGCTCGGGCGAAAATGGAAGCCCATGTTTCTACATACTGCATTGTTGGGGAGTCGCACAGGAGTTGCTACCTCATCCGTGTCCTTTCATAGCTCGAGTACAAACCAACGGCAGAGTACCACTTGCACATGGGCAGATTTCAGCTGCCAAGCACCGCTGCAAGTCAGCAAATAGGAGCGAGAACGACGCACGGCTGGTTCGTGCATTGCACAAGCAAAGAACTGCGACATGCAGTCTCTCCAGGGGATTTTGGCTGCTCCACATCGTCCATTGCTAGGGTGAGACTGATGGAGGCTTTCGCCTCTGAAAAATCCACAGCATGTCTGTGAGCAAAATAGGCATGGCGTAGAGCTATCTTATCGAATCTACGCTGCCATCATGACTGCATGACTTCAGAAGTGGCAGTGCACCAGAACTTGCTGCTGTGCAGCACTCTTGGCATCGTCGTGTCTCCTTGACTTGTACACGAGCTCCCGCACGGAGCCTGCGAGCAGCACAATGTCCGAAGGGGGCTCTGTAATCCTCCGCCAGTTCTCCTGCGACACATCCACATAGAACCTTTCCTCCCTGAGGCTCAAACTGGCACGAGCGAGGCATGTCTGGAAAACGTAGCTGTTTTGCACCATCAGGATGAAGGCCGCCAAATCGGCTAGGTCCACAGTGACTATTTGATGGCCTTTGGGGGCTGCTGATCGAACGGCCTGAAGTAGTTCGACTAAAACCTGCAAGAGCGATCGAACTGTGACAAAAGGATTGGACCGAGCTCGCTCCAAGCAAAGTGGAAGGAATTCACAAACGATTGCCGGGGTCGTTATGCCATCGGCCAGGAAGTGCTTCGTGAGCTCTACTTGTTCCTGTGCTGTGAGATGGTCCCAGGCATCTTGAAGCCGTGCCAAGTCGTCCGCCGTCTGAGCCCGGCAGTTGCAGGCCAAGCGCAGCAATGCCAAGTCTGATGGCTGCTCGGCACATCTGCTGAGCTCAAGCCCCCTGTGGTGGATGTACGTCCAATACAAGGGTGCTGGGTCCTGCTCGAGGACGTGCTTCAGCATGGCCAATCCAAGAAGCGTTGCCCTTGCATTGCTACGCGTCATGAACCGAGACCCCTTGCCACCGGCTAGGCCGCTCATGAACCCAAGGAGGTAAAGGACATAAAATTTCAGGAGCTCTTCACTCCCGTAGGACTGAACTGCTGATTTCAAGTCCCCCAGGTTGGCGGGCACATTCTCACCCTGGAGCATCTGAGCAAAATTGAAGATACCCTGCATGTCGAGCATTTTGGTCATCAGTTCCTGGGCGTTGCTGCTCAGACTGGCTGCTGACGGAACCGCCAACGGAAACAACTCGAGTATGTACTTCATTGCCTTCTCTGGGCGCTGATGGCCGACTGGAAGCTGCCGAGTAAGTGATCTGTACTTGCTTACGCCCTTGACTGCGAGCAGGAAGATGACCGCAAGCAGCTTTTGGTCAGTGGCATCGGTCCAGTCAAAGAGCTCCCGCAAATTCTGCCACTGAGTGTTGGTCAGGCGATTCTGTTGATTCTGCGCGGCTGTGTACCTAGACTAAGGGCAGATATGCCTCGGACAACATGACAGACCGACAGACCCTTAGGGCACGAGTTAACCCCTGAATACCAGACCGGAAACATACCCAAATCTACCAGGTGGCATCTCGTAGTCGTTCCGTGCGAGGGCAACTAGGCTGAGAATGGCAGATTCCGCTCTTTCCTGCTCCTTGGCATCAGAGAATCTGGCATGAAGTCCGTGCTCGAGATCGAGCTCCAGGAAGGCCTCGCGCAGGCTCGCGACCGTGCTGTCGGCTGTACCCTGGCCGGGAACAACGGAAGATACGAAGTCCATGGGGGTCAATTTAGCCTCTGCTCCGTTGGCGCCGAGCCATACTGCAGTGTGGAGGGGCTCAGCGCCGTCGAGTGGATTCTGGGGAGACGCAAGGTCCAATACCTCTATTACCTGCCGATTGTCCACATGCTCCTCAAGGTAGAAGGAATTGTTTGTGCAAGCAAGTTGTGCACATTCTTGCTCCCACTCAGCTTTGTGCCATATGCCCCCCGGCTTTGTTGCTGGGACCGCCGTGTAGCAGGAGATGTACTCATTGGCGTACTCTATCACCATGGTCGTGCACAGAGGCGAATTGACAAGAATCTTGGCAAAATCCGCTGCAGTCAGCGAGAACACTTCGGAAAAGGAGTCCGTGTGCAAACTGCATCTGTGCACCGCCGCCTCCACATACAGGGATATCTCCGCAAAGTAGTGACAATCGTCTTCGATGAGGGCATGGTCCTGCGGATATGCCTCTGCCGTCAGTTTAAACGTGCCGTGGCTGCTAATGTACATCTTCTCGGCCAACGAGCCTTCGCTGAAGACGGCCTCTCCCTCGCAGTAAAAATGCTTGTTTAAAACGCGGCAGCACTCGGCGAATACCGCGGGATACGATGAAGAGATAAACTCAAACAGTGGATGGGCATTCAGAACGGAGCCGAACTGAGACGTGGCCAATTCTGCCTCAAGCATCGGGGAGATCAAGCTGGGATCATACGCGACAGGCGAGTGGCGGGTCATCCTGTAGTCGGCGTAGCTCATGACCCTCATCATCAGCTCGGTGGACACGGCTCGGGTCTGCAGGAAGATGCGCAGCTCACGGCGCTTCTTGCTGCGCTCGCTGTTCACCTGGCGGATCTCGTTCAAGGTGCCGGTAAGGATCGACAAAGCCGAACCAATGACCAAAACTGTTGTGACAAACAGGATCAGCACCTCAATCTGCCATTAAATTTTGCTGCAGGCATGACAGAAAAGGTCTCAACAGTTCCTGGTGATGGGTGCGATGCGTAGTTAATACAAAGCTTGGCGCGAGCATCAGTATCGTTCCCCCTTGCAAATCCCTGTATTAACTGTATTGGATGTGCTCGGTGTGTCAGCGGCACTGATCTGCGCGGCGGCGCATATTTTCGACTCTCACCGGCGCATATTTAAGGGTCGGCGTTTCTGAATGGGTGGCGCTCCGCCCCACCAAAAACGTCCCACACCCAGACCATCTGTACGTATGTATGTATGTATGTATGTATGTATGTATGTATGTATGTATGTATGTATGCCATCTTTCTTACGGATAGATTTTTGTTTGAAAAGTTATCTATCCAGTTATGCCTATGGCTGGTCTAACTTGCTATAACGTGAAGTGTTGATGTCTTTTGCGAGCATTCGCGCGCGACAACCCACCCACGCACGTGCGCCTGGGTAAGGTAGCAAATTCGAAGCTGACAACAACTATTAAAATGCAGCCTGTGAAAACCTTGTTGCAAGCAGGCCTCTGTGCACCTTACGAACTCAATTTGGCGACAAACAAGGACGCTGTAGTGGGACATTCGCTGCCTTGATTTTCCTCGACCCGGACAGGAAGACGGCGCTTCGTTCGACAGGTCTCATCCTTCGGATACACAGATATACAGGTTGGTTGCCAGCGAAACGCTTTAGGCGAAACAACACGGCGTCGGCTGCTCCCTGTGCTGCACCATTCTTGCCATGGCTCTTTCAAAAGCTTCGGTAGTAACTGGCAGTAACTGGCACAAGGCGTGAGGGAGGGCTAAGTCGACCCAGGCCGTGTGAAGTCAGATCTCCCTAAGGTCACGTCCAGATTTGCGTGACGTCGACCCCCACAGTACGAAACTGCAAGCACATGCTGGGTTTTATGGAGCACAGCCCCGGCATGTCATGAAAGCTGCATGCGGCAACGAAACTCTTCGCACAACGTGACACAGTGCATTGGAGCACGCGAAAAAAGCAAGTGTACGCTGCGTTCTAGTTTCTTGAGCTACCCAGGCATTGAAACGGGTTGAATTGTAAGCGCGCGCTCCAGTGACTGTCGGTGCTATTCTCCGCGTGCCAGAACCCGAGATGCAAATACCATGTGCTGACACATGCAAAGTCTCTTTCGGACCCCTTGTGCTTGCCGGCGCATTTCCAGCCTTACTGCCGTATGAGTTTACGATGAGCTTTTCTTCACACTACCAATGTATGCGCAGGTGCGACACGACGGTTGAGAAAGCGCATCAAGGCATAACTGCGCCTCATGAGCCTTCATGCGGAATCCCCAAGTTTTTAACCCAAGTACCATGGGCTTTTGCAACTGACAGCAACTTTAGCCTTGCATGGAGCTGGCTGAGGACCCAGCGGCCAAATGCTCTATGCCGCTGAAGGGGTCCAGTGGAGGCGGAGAAGGCGGAAGCAGCATCCAAATCAGCGAGTGAATGTACTGGATGTGAAACGTCGCTCCTTGCTCTCGTGTAATTCCGGAAAATTCTAGCCAACTTCTGTGCTGGCCGGCCGATTGCACAGTGTCACCCAGTGCGAACCAAATACATGCTAGAATGTGCGCGACGGCCCCGATGGCTACGAGCATCTTGCCTACTGTAAACGCCAGGATCATCCACTGCCGTCCCATAGAGATAACGAGATTCTCCAGCAGCACATTAATCTTGCCTGCTTTGAGAATCCTGAGAATCCGAATCGTTCGCAGTATTCTCAAATAGCGGGCGGACCGTAGTGGCTGCAAAAAGTCTGCAGGCGCATCCTCTGACGCCTGCCCCGTGGACAGTGCCTAGAACTTAAGATGCTCAACCGCTACCCCTAACGATAATGGGCCCCACTCATTCGTAACACGTCTCTGATGACTGAAGAGCTCTAGGCAATATATAACCCCCCAAGTTCCCCTAGCTTGGACCGACGCCTGCCCCAGGAAACCAGCAGCAAAGTCCAGCAAAACAACGCAAATATCAAACCCCAGCCACGTGTACGCATATCGCTTGGCAATTTCCCAGCGCCGGGTCTCGATGAAGCCGCGAACGTAGAAGGCGGTGTTGAAGTTCACTACGATATCACACGGCCAAAAAGCTAAGGATATAATGGCAAATATCTGCAGCACTCGGCTGGAAAAGCTGAAGGAGGAAGGCATCGGGGTTACCTCCCACTCGCTCCAAGCCATTGTCATGGGAAGCAGGAATGCGTCCAGTACAATCAGGAGTACGCCACAAAGATCCCACACCAAGCGGAATTTCGAATTGGGAGGGATCACCTGCAGAATGGATTCGCATCTTTCCAACTCTGTCAGCACTGTGTTAGCCCCCCCTGATGCATACTGACTGACCGTGTTGGAGGGAGAGAGATATCCGGTCTTCATGCGTTCCTTCTTCAGCACATGCGCAGATTCAGCAGCTCGCATCGAAAGCTCCATCAGGTGGGAGTTCAGACGCATGTGCGAATGAGCGCTAGCACCCAACATCTCGGCAGAAAAAAACAGCGCATCCCCACACAAAGAGCTGGGAGCAGGCTCCTCATGGGGTATGGACATCACGTCGTCCTTTAACAGCCAGTCTCCCAAGGAGTCGGGCACTTTCCACGAAGCTCGCCGCCCGGTGCCAGCTGAAAGCATGGAAGCTTCGACTGGAGCAAGCGGCGACCCAACATCTTGACGCAGAACTTTCAGATGCTTCTGGATCCGAGCAAAGGCATCGTTCAACTCAGCCTCCAAGTTTTGAATTCCTTCTTCCCAGGATGTAGAAGCCATGAGTAAGGAGAGGTGCAACAAAAACGTCACTTTAGCTCTTCTGTGTGCTGCGAGTATCCGTCGACATCTTCAAAGTGTTTAGTTATGTTAGTTTAGTTCAAGGATCGGAGGCTGAGACTTACAGTAATGCTAGCAAAAGATTTCCCATTCTGTAGTCGAAACAAACACAATCCGCAGACACTGCCTGAGACTCTGAGATACCTCGAGCCAGCATTGCCAAAGACTCGTTTTCAGCAAGGCGAAGCCGATCTCTCACTGGCTCGGACTCTCTCTTTCTTTCGCCAGGGCTAGGGGTAAGGGAGGACAACCCCCCTCTCTCTCTCTCTCTCCCTCAGTTCGTCCACGCGCGGCGGAAAGAGCCGTTGAAGACTGACTACGTGACTACGGAATGCTCCCTGTCCGCTCTCGACGAACTGCACTTGGTAGAAGCACCAGGGCTGCTATCCATGTTGCAATTACCTTTCAATTCGTCTTGCCGGCCGTACTTCTTTCTGTCTCCACGACATGCCATACCTGCTGAACATGGGGCATGCTTCGAGTGAGCAAGGTCTTTGAGCATTTTGAGCCGCTGCATGGACAACGTGGTTAAGCTCGTCAGAAACGGTTGCAGTTGAAAGAAGCGAGCTCCGAACTCTTCGCTCAAAACTACAGCGCTCAGGGTTACAACATCGATTCGCAAGGCCTGGCTGCGAAATTTCTCAAAAACTTGAAGTGCCTCAGCCCACTTCTGGCAAGCCACGCATGCCCATAACACAGCATTGCAGGTAATCACATTTGGCTGTATAAGTGCATCCTCTAACCGTTCCAGTAGGGCCAGAGCTGGTCGCCAAGAGGCTCCTTTGGCACAGGCGCTGATGGCAGTGGACCAGGTGATCACATCACTTTGAAGACAACTCCTCTCCATGTCGGCAACAATCATGAGAGCATGAGCCCATTTCCCACACTTCTCACAGGCGCTGATGGCAGCGTTCATTGCGACCTTGTCTGCGTTCAAACGCTGTCGCCCCAACTCCTCCAGCAGTTCCACTGCATGTTTCCACTGCAGAGCCTTTTCGCATGCACTAATGGTTGCACTGAAGGCAACAGCATTTGCCTTCAACTGACTTCTCGGAAGCTCCAATAGCAAGGCCAATGCCAGCTGCCACTGCTGCCCCTTCTCGCAGCTACTTATGGCAGCGCTGTGTGCGACGATGTCCGCCAGAAGCGACTGAGCATGACTCTCAGACAGCAACAAAAGTGCATGCTCCCAGTGGCCACTGCTTGCACATGCGCTGATAGCACTATTTCTGGAGATGTCGTTGCCCTGGAGTCTTGCAGCAAATAGCTCGGAGAAGAGCATCAAAGCGAGCTGCCACTGACTGCCTCTGCCGCATGCACTAGTGGCCGCGTTATACGCTATGAGATCTGGCATCGGTCCTGATGACAGAAGCTCCTGAAAAACCACTAGTGCAGCTGGCCACTGTGCACACCCCTCACATGCAGTCACCAAGGTTCCAAAGGTCACGATATCAGCTGGCAGTCGGCGCCATCGCTGGTTGCAAAGCAAGGCGAGGTTCTGCAGCCATTGCTCAGAAGTGTTGAGAACAGCAGCAAGGGCATTGTACGTAATCGAACTGCTCAGTCGCTGAGCCTCCGAACGGTCCAAAAGGCTGAACGCCCGCTGCCACTGAGCCCCGGATTCGCAGCAGGAGGTGCAAGCCACATACGTGAAAGCATCAGGCGACTGTTGTGACCAAGAAAAATCTCGCAGAAACAGGGCTGTGGACCACTGTGATTTACAAGCACTGATGATCGTGTTGACCATCACTAGGTCAGCCTGGCAACGCAAAGAAACGACGTCTTTGCGGAGGTGCAGGGCCCGCTCCCAAACAGCAGCCTTGCTAAAGGTATTGCAAATCGAGTTCAGCATAATCATGTTGCCTTCCTGCTGTGTTCGCATCTGAGCCTGCATGTCTATTGCCTTTTGCCAGCCCACCCCCTTAGAAGAAATCATCGAGTTGTAGGTGACAAGATCAGGCTTCAGTTGCACCCGTTTGAGGTCTGAAAGCAGTGCGCCAAGTCGCATCCACTGGCCTGTTCTCCTGCCCAAACTTGTCGTCGTGATGTTGTACGTTACCAGACTGCTTTCTACGCTTGCACTGTGAGCCTCTGTCAGGAGGCTCAGCGACTGAATCCACTTCGTCTCATTCCGAAGAGCATGCGCTGCAGCCCCGTATGTCACGGTGTTTGCTTGAAGTGCCGGCTTTTGCAGGTGACAGAGCAGGCCCAAGGCCATGCTCCACCTCTTTGCTGAACGGATTGCAGACGTATACATGCTTTCATTAACCTGCAGCTGTTGCTGTTCCAATTCGTGTAGCAGTTGAGCGCCCTCGGCCCAGTCCGACCTTGCAGGGGATTTTCGAGAGCCGAAGCTCCTGGACATCACCGGGACAATCACTTCCATGCTACCCGGCCGCGTAAGTTGGCGCCACGCCAGCTGAGGGCTTGAATTCAATGTGCTGCAGTCTCGGGACGTGCGGACACAACAACAAGGAGGAGGCAGCCTGACATGCCGTTCCACAATACTGCTACAAGAACATGATAACAAGGATACACAGTATTGGTTAAAACGATTGGGAAAATACCCAGAATGCCGTACTAGTTACATAAACACCTGCGCAAAAGGCACCCCCCCACACACCCACACCCGCACACACGCACTCTCTAACCTACGCTGCAGCTAAGGGAAGACTGGTAGCTGTTGCGATCGGATTAGTCTCAGTCGCATGCGCCGTTGTAGGTACTAGCTGTGGTGGTGGTGGTGGTGGTGGTGCTGGTGGTATAGTCGTAGTCGCAGCAGTAGCAGTAGAACAAGCAGCAGCAACAGCAAAACGACTAACAGTCGCAGTAGCACAGCAGCAGCAGCAGGAAGCTCGAAGTACTGGTAGGAGCAGTGGCAGTAGTAGTAGTAGTCGTCGTCGTCGTCGTAGTAGTGGTAGTGGTAGTGGTAGTCGTAGTCGTAGTGGTAGTCGTAGTAGCAGCAGCAGCAGCNNTAGTAGTACGTAGTAGTAGTACGTAGAAAGTAGAAGCAGAAGCCTTATGAGGAGTAGGATCATCATCTTCTTCTTCTGGAGTACCCAACATCAGGCAGGCTTTGCCGCAGCTTCTGAATTCTGACGTGGTATGGCCCTGTGTTACCAGGCAGAAGCAGGGCATGCAGGTTGAGTTTTTGATCACCCGCCCTCCATCGGCCAGACTAATGCAAAGCATGAGATGACACGGTACCAATCTGGCATGGCCGTACCGCACCAGGTACAAACCCTGTTGTCACGTCGTGCAAATTCTGAATCGTCCTCCGTATCACGTGAAGCTCATGCAGTCTGCTGAGCTCAGAGATGCAATTAATTCCAGGCCTTGACACTGTACATCATGAAGAATGGAGGCTGCTTTGTTCGGCCGCCTCGCAATGACACACGCGGCCATCACAGAGTTGCAAATCACAGTGTCTGTCTTCACACTGCCATCGCGCAGCTCCTGCAGTAGCACGAAAACTGGCTGGCAGCGCTGCGCGCTTAAACATGCATCTATCGCTGTTGAATGTGCCACCAGATCTGCTTGAAATCGGGGCAGAAAGGCCAAAGCCAGCTGCCACTTGGTAGATCTTCCAGCTGCAGCTACAGCGGCGCATCCTGTCAAAATTCCAGGAACAACCCTCTGCTCCATCAGCTTGGCCACAAGCTGCACAGCATCCTTCCAGATACGACCCCTCTCGCGAGCATTGAGAACGGCATTAAATGTAGTGAGGTTCGGTTGCATGTGGCAGTCGTGAATTCGGCGCAGGGCTTGCAGAGACTCCTTCCATCGCTGTTGGCTCCCACAGGCATTCATGAGCGCCTTACTTGTCCAGTTTCCGAGGGAACTGAGCTTTGAGGTCATCAACAAGGTTTTCTAGAATCTAGCACCTCCAGAAGGTTACTCTACTCCACTATATTCCACTAGGTTGCGTTCTCTGCAGTGACTGTCGCTTGGAGACCTCGGCTTCGTAGTCTCCGCAGCAGAGAAACCACCGAAGGCCATTGCGAGCTCTTCTCACATGCACTGATGGTGGCATTGAATGTGATGGTGAAGTCCGCAAGCTGCCCTGGAAGGTGGTTTGCAGAATAAGCACCCACATTTTTTGAATAGTAGTGATGGGAAAACGACTATACCTAATACTGGCAACAACTTTTCTCAGTACCGACGACATCAACAATACTCTTGGCAACATTCCAGCAGTAGTAGCGGTGGTGATATAATATTGTAACAGTAACAGTAGTAGGTAGCAGGTGTAGTAGTAGTAGTAGTAGTAGTAGTAGTAGTAGCAGTAGTAGGAGTAGTAGCAGTAGCAGTAGCAGTAGCAGTAGTAGGAGTAGTAGCAGTAGCAGTAGCAGTAGCAGTAGCAGTAGCAGTAGTAGTA